AAATTGGATCGTGACAAATATCTTCCTTTCTTATTCTAAGCTGGTGATAACCAGACTAAAGATTAATGGCTCCTTGTAACATATCAAACAAATTATCTATACAAGACAAGGAATAATTGTTGTGTGTTGTTATATTATTTAATTATTTGTAGTTGGTGCATATTCTTAAAGACTTATCCCTTTTTTTCCAAACAATATTAGTGTACCCCATGGCGCAACACTCGATATGATAAAACCCGTATCCAGTAGGTCTCGCAATTGTTCATTAGCTATCTCAATTTCGTTTGTGCCATATGATATGGTTTACGTGTCAGGTGTCAAATCAATACCGAAGTTTATTTCTCATATTGGAGGTAGTCCTGGTAATCCTTAGATACATTAGAAAATCCCTCACTATGATACTTTTATTTTTTAACCTAAGTTTCACATCTCTTGGATCTCTTTACGAAAGTTACGAGACCCTAACCAATTTTATTCAATAATTGTAGATACTTCTTAAATGATATAACCTCGACTATCACTGGGATATGATTCTTTCTTTTTTTTACAATTAGGTTTGCTAGATATGTCAATCTAACTACCTTCGCATGGTAATAAAAGGTAATGTAATAAGATAATAACCAACCATAACTATAAGCACGTTAAAATTAACATGGTCAAGTACAATTTGGCTAGATAGGGTATCCTCTCTCTCTCAACTAGAATCTGATAAGCTTAATACGAAGTTTCAAATGTACGAGATTCTTCCATAAAAGTAGCAACTATTAAAGGATCTCATAATATCTCAACATGTTATTTATCTAACTCTTCGTCCCATATAAGAAAAATAAATTCATACTGCGAGATTTTCTAGTCTCTACCTTCTTAAATGAATTCTTAGTTGCATTACAATCACATCCAGTTCTTAAATTATTTTTTTCTAGCAAGTTCAACTTCCACATATGTAACGACCCCGCCGGTCGTTTCATGAGTTATAGACCCGTTTTCCCCATTTCTGCTTCTTTATGTGTTCTTCAGCTGTATTTTATCGTATCGTATTGGTTGGTTCGGGTTCGGAGTAGTTTTGGAGTGAATTGAGACACTTAGTCTCTTTTGAGTAGGCTTAAGTTGGAAAAGTCAACCGGATATTGACTTATATGTAGATGATCTCGGATGTGAATTCTGATGGTTCGTTTAGCTTCGTTAGGTGATTTTGGACTTGGGTGCACGTCCGGAATGTGATTTGGAGGTCCATGGTAGAATTAGGCTTGAATTGGCGAAAGTGGAAACTTGGCGTTTCTCGGTCGATAATGGAAATTTTGATATCGGGGTCGGAATGAAATTCTGGAAATTGGAGTAGGTCCGTAAGTGTCATTTGTGAAGTGTGCGCAAAATTTCAGGTTATTCGGACGCGGTTTGATAGGTTTCGGCATCGTGTGCGGAATTCGGAAGTTTGGAAGTTCTTAGGCTTGAATTCGAGGGTGATATGGTGTTTTGATGTTGTTTTGAGTGTTCCGAAGATTTGAATAAGTTTGAATGGTGATATGTGACTTGTTGGTATATTTGGTTGAGGTCCCGAGAGCCTCGAGATGAATTTGGATGGTTAACGGAAGAGTTGGAATTTAGTTGGTGTAGCTAAAGTTGCTGCTTCTGTTATTTCCGCACCTGGGATTGGGGACCGCAGGTGTAAGGTCGCAAAAGCAGTGTGGAAGCTGCAGATGCGGACTTGAGGGCCAAGAGGAGAAACCACAGATGCGGTGTGCTGGACGTATCTGCGGGACCGTAGGTGCGGTGCCTGGGGCGCAGATGCGGTCCTAAGCGTTTAAGTAAAAATCGCAAGTGCAGCTTATTGGACGGCAGATGTCGAATTGCTGGGCAAAATATATATAACGGTTCCTTAGCGAATTTTTGCCCATTCTTCACCATTGTTGGACGGGTTTGGAGATTTGGGCAGTGATTTTCAAGAGGATTCGAGGGTTACCAGTGGGGTAAGTTACTTGGGATTTATTACTTGTGTTTATGATTATTTTTCTACTGTTTAATCATGAAATTAGTGAGAATTTGGGATGAAATTGAGGGGATTAGGGCTTGAAATTTGAGATTTTAAATTGAGGATTTGAGGGACCATTTGGGGTCAGATTTTGATGATTTGGCATGTATAGTCTCGGGAGTGAAAGGAGTTTCTAATTTTGTGATTTTTGTCGGATTCCGAGACATGGGCCCGAGGGCCGGGTTTGGGTGAATTTTGGGATTTTGGTATAATTTGACAATTTTTCGTATGGAATTGGTTCATTGGCCTATATTGATTGCATTGTAATGCTTTTGGGCAGACTCGGGATGTTTGGAGGCCGATTCCAGAGGCAAGGGCATCACGGAGTAGGGATTTGATCGGTTCGAGGTAAGTAATGATTGTAAATCTTATCCTGAGGGTATGAAGCCTCGGATTACACATCGTTTCACTATGTTGAGGTGACGCACATACTAGATGACGAGCGTGTGGGCGTGCACCGTTGGGGATTGTGACTTGGTCCGTCCCGTAGCAACTATTTAGTTGCGTATTTGACTGAAAACTATTTGATACTTATGTGTTTTAGAAAGAATTTCTATGATTTGGGCTGAATGCCATATTTGGGCATCGTGCCAAGCTGTTTGGACCCTTAGGGGACTTTTACTATCATTTCCTCACTGTTTTGACCTAAAATTTGTACTCAGTCATGCTATGTTTTACTGATTTCATAACTCAGTCTTTATTACTACGTTTTGATGCATAAAATGATATTTTGGGCTGATCACCCTGTTTTACTGATTGCCCGAGTGGCTTGAGAGGTTTCTGACTGAGTGAGGCCGAGGGCTTGTGTTGTGAGAATATTATGGGATCGGGTTGAGCGCTGCAGCGTGTTATTACTGATTTGTGATTATGAGAGGCCGAGGGCCTGATTTATTGTGCCACGAGGTGGCTTGTTATAGCGCTTGGGGTGTAAGAGCCCCTCCGGAGTCTGCACACCCCCAGTGAGCACGGGTACCCTGTGTGAGTGATATGATGTTATGTCCGAGGGGCTGTTACTGATTTATGTTGCGCCCAAGGGGCTGATACGAGTGACTGTGAGGTTTGCTTGAGGGTCTGGTTCTGAGTGATATCATGCCCGATGACCGGTTTATGATTCATGTTGCCCGAGGGGCTGTATACGAACTATGTTTTGCCCGAGGGGCTATTATGATTTTTATCATTTTTACTCTAAATTGAATTGAACTTCTGTTGAAACTGTTGAAAAGCATCTTCAAATGATTTTTCTGAAAAACTTGGTTTTTAAACGAGAGTATTTTGACTCATATACGGATTTGAAAGCATGTTGAACTTACTAACTTTTGTGATGTGGATTTTTTGTGTTTCTTACTGCTCAGTCTTTATTTACCTTTATTACTTACTGAGTTGGTGTACTCACATTACTCCCTGCACCTTGTGTGCAGATCCAGGGGTTGCTGGACGTGCTAGCGAGCATTAATCTTCATCTACCGCGGATACTTAGAGTTGGCAAGGTAGCTGCATGGCGATCGCAGCCTTTCCCTTCTCCCTACTATCTTCCTATAGATATTAGTAGTTGATTTCCAGACTAGTTTTGTCTTGTTATGTTTCAGAACAATTGTAGTATTGCTCATGACTTAGTGACACCTGAGGTCGGGCTTTATTTTTCGCGTTTTGGTTTTATTTGGCTTTATATTTTTATGAGGATTTCAATATGAAAAAGGCTGTTATTTATAATTTATTGAAATGTTGAACTATTTTGGGAATGTGTCGGTTGGCCTAGTTCCATGATAAGCGCCATCACTACCGGATTGGTTTTGGGATCGTGACAACATAATAGCTAGGTCAGAGTCTTTGTATGTGAGAATATTCCCTTGTTTAAACAGTTAACCAACCATTAGACAAGCCTCTAAAAATCACGTACCTAGCCAGTTAATAAAGCGTGGTATTACATGTCAGTACATCCATCATCTGAATTAATTTCTTAAGTACCTATCAGGTTTGCGCTTTCGACTATTGAGAAGGAAACGATTCATAAAAAGTTTACTGAACATATTTCTAAGTCATTTTTGTCACTCTTAACCGCGTCCCTAACAATATGGTTTCGTTCCATAAATCTTTCATATACTCTAGTCAATAAGTAGCTAGATCAACAAGCCTCTCGCTAGAACATTATAGAACTCATAATGCTTTAAGTATTTCGTCAAGAACCTCTAAGGATCTCTACATTAACAAAAAATGGTAAACTTAGTGGCTTCAATTGTAGGAACTCTATTAGAGAAATATCTTGGTTTCTGACTTAGTCTAAATGCATGAGGCTTCTAGAGCCTTTTGTTGTTGACCATTCTTCTCTTGTCTATCCAATATATCCATCGAGACCTCAATTTACCTTGCATGAAGGTAAGTACTTTTGTAATGGCACTCTCCTGTTGTTGTATTGGTGAACTTGTACTAATTTCAAGAATAGACTCTATTACACATCTTAGCGGTAAGACTCTCATTGTGGAAAAACAGGCCTTTCATTGGCCTTGTCTACTACTTCTGTCACTTTTCGTTGTTAGGAGAGTTGCCTATCTAGTGGTAACATTTGATGTCTTTGAACCTCTAGCCATATTCTATTATCGGGTGATTGATCTGAGTAATACATGAAAAGGATAACAATGACAGATTCAGTTATTTGATCCCAATCGCCACAATGGAAGAATAAGAATGAAAGACAAGACACATCCTATCACGCCCTCGCAGAATCACGATGGAATGGCTGGCTACATAACCATAATTGAGATTCTACTATTGACATGTGCTCCATTATTCACAAGATAACCTAGGCTGTGATACCAACTTTGTCAAGATCCAATTTAGAATCATGAGCGGTGCTTAGGAGCAAGTGCCCCTAAGTAAGCCTCATTGATATTTTACAGAAAAACGGACAGAGTTTCCCCTGTTTTGTATCCAAAAAAAATTCCTGTCGCAAAATCAACAACCAAACATCCTAATATCAATCCAGCCAACAATAACTTTATCCATTAACCAGAACAAGTCTCAACCATTATGATCAACCCACTAACAACCACAACTACTAATTTATCTCCAAATTCGATAAGAAAGTGCAATACTCATCATAAGTCTATGATAATGAAAGAATACTCAAGACACTAAAAGAATGACTATGGAGCGACTTTATGAGTTGATAAGAGAAGACGAAAAAAATAAACTCTTCGCCCACGCGGACAAGTGCGGGGCTCACCAGGAACTATCAACTCGTATACTCTAATTAACAAAATCCTTGCTCGCATCAACTGCTGTCTCTGTAAAAAAATAGCGGGGAGTGAGCCGCTAGCTTAGTGAGTAATAACACTTAATCACAATCGTTTTTAATTGGGGACAAGTTAGAAAACATGCTAGTTTATTATGCAGAAAATATAATAAGAATACCCTTTCAGAAACAATAAACAATAATCAGTCTCATCATGTGTTTCGTGTAACAAAAATCAATTTCACAATTCGGTTACTAACTCGGTAAGCACTGTCTCATAGCAAATCTTTATGTTTGGGAGGTTTCCAAGAAAGGATCATGTAATTTGTATCACTATGTGGACCCCTTCGTAAAAGGAGTCGTATATAACTGTAGGTCCCTATTCAAGGGAAAACTGTAACTGTATGCTAGTTCTACCTTCCCACTAGCGAGGGCTATAACTGTAATCGGTAATCAGTAAATACAAGGTGCACCAGGTCTAACGAACCTGCCGTTAGCTACGGGATCCTTCAAAGTCTCCTCCCATTTATACTTTTCCTTGTAACCAGTAAATATTCATAAGTATTTTCAAAATAATACAGGGCATATCAATAATATAGGCATTTATCCCATCCATCCACCGAGAAAAACACCTGCCTTACACTAAAAGTTCACGCGCTTCTTTATATTCTTATCAAATCATATAATTTGATTTCAGTAATGGTAATCATATCTTAAGTAATAGTAAAACATGTCTAGTAACAGTGAGAATATTATAAATAACTGTAGACATCTCAAGTAAATTGTTTAGTACCATATCAAGTAAAGGACTTGTCCCACATGCAATTTCAAACATTCGGTAACAATTACTATTTGAAAATCATGTACAAACCATGCAGGTTATGAACACGCAAGTTGCGGTAAGATTACTACTCACAATACTCGTGCCGAAATATCAACTGTGTCACCTCGTGCAACCCGTACGATTTCCTTCAATCAATCTATAATCACATCATATCGATCTCGTATCAATTTTGTTATTTAGGCTAATCTGTAACTAATTTACAATATCCAACTCTTGGAGTTTCACGTTGATTCTCAATTATTTTTCTTGAGTTGGATTTGTCCAGACCATGGGAAAATTATTTTATATCTTAATCATGCTCCGTAAGCCACATGTAAACTTTTGAGATTTTACTGTAGAAAATATAATTCCATATTGCTTTTAAAAACTTCTAAAACTTGCTTAAGTTAAATAATTGCACTATGTCATCATTGAAGCAACTTTCTGTAAGGAGTTCTTCACTCAAATTCATCTATTATCTGTCAATTCCAACCGTTTCATAGAATATATTAATCTGATTTTGAACCCGATAGGCGCATAACTCTAAACCAAATAGAACTACTGGCCATAGTAAAAAAAATTCCCAGCACCTTATAAAGTTTCATAAATCAAAGAATACGGGACACAAAACTACAGAGAAGAACTTACCATTCTTTAATTGAAAGAGACCTGCCACAATTTACTTAAGCTTGAAAACTTCTTGTTATTTGGTTTCGATTATTTGACGAATCTAAAACATTTGCCGATAGGTTTAGTTGCGGTTGAAGATTTGGCTTCGTTCCTTAATCCTCTTTTCTCTTTTTGTTTAGTCTTTTCTATTGGGCTTTTATTATTATTATTATTATTATTATTATTATTATTATTATTATTATTATTATTATTATTATTATTATTATTATTATTATTATTATTATTATTATTATTATTATTATTTTGTTTAAACTGTTAAATTACTAATATGCCCTAACTTAAATATGGGGTATTACAACATTTTCCAAAATTCTCATGTTTTCTATACTCCTCCCTCCCCCACCCCATCCCCCCACCCCGACTCTATTTTCTTCAAAAATTTAATTATTATTTTTAAAACTCACACAAATCCGAATGAACTAATGTGCTACTTTACCTTTTTACACAAGAGACAACGTTAAAATTTGAGCTCGATAACTAAAAATAAAATACTTTACTTTGTTGAAAAAGAAAGTATCTTTTTTACAACAGGAAAAGAAATTATTCATTTTGTTGAATGAAAGAAAATACTTTTTCTACATCATTAAAAAAAATATTCAGTTTGTTGAAATGAATTTTTTTTTTTATATCATGAAAAGAAAGTACTCGTTTTGTGAAAATATTTTTTCTACATCAGAAAAGAAAATATTTAGTTTGTTGAAATCAAAGAAAATATTTTTTTACACATGAAAAGACAGTACTCTTTTTGTTGAAATGAAAGAGAATACTGTTTCTACATCATGAAAAGAAAGTACTCGCTTTGTTGGAAAAAAAATATTTTTTCTATTTCAGGAAAAGAAAATACTTGATTTGTTGAAATGAAAGTAAATAATTTTTCTACATCATGAAAAGAAAGTAGTCGTTTTGTTGAAATAAAAGAAATTACTTTTTTCTACATCATGAAAAGAAAGTACTCATTTTTTTTAAAAAAAAAATTACTTTTTCTATTCCAGGAAAAGAAAATACTTAGTTTGTTGAAATGAAAGAAAATATTTTTACATCATGAAAAGAAAGTACTCACTTTATAGAAATGAAAGAAATTACTTTTTCTACATCATGAAAAGAAAGCACTCATTTTTTGAAAAAAAAATACTTTTTCTATTACTGGGAAAGAAAATACATAGTTTATTGAAATGAAAGAAAATACTTTTTCTATATCATGAAAAGAAAGTGCTTGTATTGCTGAAATGAAAGAAAATACTTTTTTCTATATCATGAAGAAAAAGTACTCGTTTTGTTGAAATAAAAGAAAATATGTTTACTACATCATGAAAAGAACTTACTCGGTTAGTTGAAATAAAAAAAAGGACTCTATCTACAACACGAAAAGAAAGTACTCTAAATAATAGTTCTATTTAGTGTGGATGGTGGGCGAGGTTGGGGTGCGGTTGTGGTTAGGGGTAGGGGGTTGGGGTGGGTGAGGGTGGGTTGGTGGCATGGGGAATAGGGTGGAGAAGGTTAAAAAAGAGTTTTGGAAAATATTTTCCCTCCTTTTGATAGGGAAAATATTTTCCTCAAATTGCAGGAAAATGAGTTGATGAGGAAAATATTTTCTAAAACATTTAAGCCACCATACATGAGAAAATTGGAAAACATTCTTCATACCAAACACGCCCTAAAAAACTAGTAACCAAACAACCCCTTTTAAGGAAAAAGAAAAGATCTTTATTGATACTGTGCACATTTTAAGCTAGCGTTTGGCCATAGATTTTCAAATTTGTTTTGAGAAATTTGATTTGGTTGAAGTTTGGTTTGAATATGAAAATGTGTTTGGACATAAGTTTTCAAAACATATTTCACTTTTTTTGTTTGTTGAAAAAACATGAAACATGACTTATACCCATAAGTTCTAAAAAGCATCACAAATACCCCAACAATACCTTTATCAATAACATTCATTATATTATCGCAAACCATAGTCCTGAATATAAATAAATTTTGTACAAAATTATTATTTTTATAATGAACTACACAATACACTATCAGATGACCGAGAAGACGAAGCAACATTGTTACAAAATAATAAATTGTGGGCACTTTTATAAAATATAAAAGTTTCGGGCAATTTTTAAAAAATGTAATAGTGATATTTTAGAAAAAAATCTGGATTTGGGAATTTACCAAAACGGGATTTGAGTTTTGGGAATTTACCAAAGTGCGCATAAAATCTATGGGAAACATGTATTTACCAAAAAATATATTTTGGTAAAATATATGGCCAAACCGGCTATTAGCCTCCCAGTAAGGGGTTGTTTGGTTGCCGGTTAGAGTTATGCAGGTATTAGTTATACATGTATTAGTTATGCAGGGATTAGTTATGCAGGGATAAGTAATGCAGGTATTAGTTATGCAGGTATTAGTTATGCAGAGATTATTTTTTTGAATGTTTGGTTTGTTGTATTAGAAATTGATATACATTATATAAATTTTAAAGTAAAATGCTTGTTTACAACTATACCCCTGACCTTCTTTTGCATTGTTTTTTCTCTCTTTCCATTTATGTAGGAAACAATTTAGTTAGGAACTTTGGGTGTTACTTTCACTTCTTCGTCATACTACTGAACTATGTGAAGTTTAGACATATTTGATTTTCACTTCTTAGTTTTGGTATTTCCATTTTCTAGTGGCTTCTCTAGTTTGCTTTTACTAGTTTGTTCTTTAAAAATGAGAGAAGACAAGGTATATAGTTGGCAAGTGAAAGCAAGTGAAACCTGTTGACGGGTTGGCGGAGAAATAAGGAAGCCTTATGTGTAAAGTGATAGGGGTAAATTTGTCATTTCAGTATTTTATCCATGTATTACTAATACATGTATTAGTTATTCCATCTTCTACCTCGCATAAAATAATACACAGATTGACTCATAACTTATACATGTATTATTTATGCATAATTGAAAAATGTCAACCAAACATGGTATTAGTTATGCAGAATTTTATACAAAATAACTATTGCCTACCAAATATGGTATAAATTATGTTACCCCTTATACATAAATAACCTTTCTTCTAACCAGCTACCAAACGACCTCTAAATCCATGTGAAAATTCGAAAAAAGTACACGTGAAAATAAAACAGTAGAAAGAAAAGAAAGAGAAAAGACAATGTGTGAACGGAGGGAGACTCGCACTTGTTGAGGTTTTAGTTAAGCCCTAAATACCCCCCCCCCCCCCCCCTACATTACTGTAATCTTCGAGACTTCAACAGCGTGTTTATCTTTTAGTGTGTGTGTGAGAGATTGGAGGCAAATAGGGGTTACAACAGAAGATGGCGAAGGAGGTGGAGGAAGAGAAGCAAGGCGGAATAGAAGCCAAGGTTGAGTCAGCTTTGCGCTCCCGCCTTCAACATTTCAAAGAAAATGCCGAGTATGCTCCCCCTCCTCCTGATTTTATTCTAGTTTTCGTAGAATTATTTTGTATACAGTGCTTTGATTATGTTGGAGGTGCCAGGACCGTCGGGTTTTCAGACTCGGATCCCTACCCGTATTAAGTGTTAGTGGGTTTTTCTACTCCTAGTTAGTGCTAAAGGGTGTTAATTTCTATCAGTTGAGTGGAAATTGGAGATATATTCTTATTTTTCGAACTTAAAAAGAAAGGAGTAAAAAAATTTGAAGCATTTGGAGGGAGGAGAGTTAATTTGAAAATTATACTTGGCCTGCATTTGTTTTGTGTTAGCATTGGGGTATCCTGCAAGTTTCCCAACTACAACAACAACAACAAATGCATTGTAATCATACAAGTGGGGTCTGGTGAGGGTAATGTGTACGAAGACCTTACCCCTACCTTGTGAAGCTGGAGAGGTTGTTTCTGATAGACCTTCGACTCAAAGAACAGTGAGAAGGAAGCAACAAACAATAGCAGCAACAAGATAGAAAGATAACGGAAGCAAACAACATATGAGTAATAATAATATACCACTTTTTGTTTGTATAAGTATGTTATATACATCTTTTCCTTGCACAATTGACAGTATCTTAAGATATGATCCAATAAAGGACCCATAGGCATTCATTTTTTGCCTTATCTATGTGTTAAACCCATCTGTGGGATAAAGTTTTGTTTTTGCCGTTGACCCCTAATGGGACTCCAGTCTGAGGTTAGTTTTAAACCATTTGTAGGGATACACAATTTGAGGTTAGTTTTAAACCATTTGTTGGGATAAAGTCTTGTTTTCGCCCTTGACCCCTAATGGAGCTCCAATCTGAGGTTAATTTTAAACCATTTGTAGGAATAAGGTCTTGTTTTTGCCCTTGACCCCTAATGGATCTCCAATCTTGAGGTTAATTTTAAACCTTTTGTAGGGATGAAGTCTCTGTTTTTGCCCTTGACCCCTAATGGAGCTTCAATCTAACATCTAAGATTAACTTTAACCATATGTAGGGATAAAGTCTTTGTTCCTTAACCCCTAATGGAGCTTCAATCTGAGGTTAATTTTAACCCATATGTAGGGATAGAGTCTTTGTTTTTGCTGTTGACCCCTTTGGAGCTCGAATCTGAGGTTAATTTTAAACCATTTGCAAGGATAAAGTCTTGTTTTTGTCCTGTACCCCCTAATGAGCTCCAATCTGAGGTTAATTTTAAACCATTTGTAGGGATAAAAGTCTTGCTTTTGAACTTGACCCCTAATGGAGCTTCAATCTGAGCTTAATTTTAAACCATGTGTTGGGATACAGTCTTTGTTTTTACCCTTGACCCATAATGGAGCTCCAATCTTAGGTTAATCTTAAACCATCCGTTGGGATAAAGTCTTGTTTTGGCCCTTGACCCCTAATGGAGCTCCAATCCGAGCTCAATTTTGAACCATTGTTAAAAGTTGAGTAAATTTGGACCTTTTTTTCTCAAATAATTTGGATACTTACTATAAGATCTTTTTTCTTGAATTAAGTCAAACAGCAATCTTGATATGTGATGGATATCCCGATTAATTTTTTTGTGAGATATCCTGAATTAACAGCTACATTTTCATATAATGTGGTCTCTGGTGTCACATTGAAATAGATGAGCATTCTAATCAATATTTGGAAATAGAATTTCAATAATGTCTCTATGACTAAGAGCTACTTGTGAAAAAGAAAGAGCAAACATTCTTATTCCTTGAGCAGCTCGAGTGTGACCATCTAACCTAAACCTTTTATCTAACAGCATATGGGGGGAATAAAGCTGATGGTGTTAGGATAATTCAGGGTTAAAAGCGGCAAATATTGTCCATGCATGATCTTCTTCTCCTCAAAAGGCTCTTTTTCTTATTCAAATATTTTGTAGATCTAATGTATTGCTGAGTGGCTTTTGAATTTATGGTGCAGCTCCTTCACTTTGGAGAGGGTCCGTAGACTTATAGAGAAAGACTTGGAGCTTGAAACTTATGCTCTTGATGTGCATAAAAAATTCATTAAACAGTTCTTGGAGAAGGTAATCTTGTTGGTTGCTTAGTTTATAAATGGTACATTTTGTGTTGTCTGTTTTCTGCATTGTCTTGCTTGCTATTTCATAATGTATTAGAGCAGTTATTAAAATTTCACATTTTACGCACTCTAAGTTGTCTAGAGAAACATTATTAGTTAGGAGATATCTTTTATGATTTGGGGTTTAGGTGGACTGTCTGGTTTGAAAGAAACAACAGAATATTTGAAGGCACAATGAGTAACATTCACAGCCTTAAACGGAGGTGTATTTTTTTGTTAGCTTTTTGGTGCAATCTGGTAATTGAACATTATGTTGATGGAATGCTAGGCACAATAGAGGGTTTGCACAACCTGTAATTGTGCCTGATGCACTGGCTTAGTGCATAAATGTATAATATTTTTAATTACTTATCAAAAAAGATTGTAGATATCTCTTACTATTATTTTAGTGTTTACCGCGAGGTTTACTCCAATATGTTTGAGATTGTTTCCTGTTTGAAGCTTCTAACAAAAATTATTTACTTCACACAAAATTACTACGATAGAGATTTTAGTTGGCAATATCCAACATCAAGCCTGGATTGATTTTTAACTTTAATCCCAGGCCATCTATCTAAAGGGACATGTAAAACATAAGAAGGCAGAAGTTTGTAGAATATCGTTCCAATTTATGTGAACCTATTTGACTGGACACAAAAAAAAAACTTTTGGAACTTGTGGTTTTAAATATGCCATAATGTTTTTATGAGGACTATAAGAGTTATGAAACATGTGGTTTTAAACATGATGTAACACTTGTGTTGCTCTTATTAAGGGCAAAATGAAAAGTTTAAGTTAAATTGTTTCTAATTCAGAAAGGGGTCATTCTTTTTTTAACGGACTAAAAAAGATATTGATTCATACAAATTGAATCGGATGGAGAAATAAGTACATATAGGGCTTCTCATAAGATTTTATGCTTACAATTAACTCAGAACATACTTAACAACATAAAAACAATTGAAACCGTTATCCACCTTAACTCTTTTTTCTACGTCGTCTCTTTTATACTGTGAAAGTTACCTTTCTTCCCAAATGACACTGAAACAATCAGATGGGAAACAAGCAACCGACATAATACAAGGATATCATGTAAACGTAAAAGACGAATACATCAAAAAGATGTATATTTAAAAGATGTAATCTCCAATGAGGGGGCCGAGGCAAGTTGTTCTCCACAATCTTATGAGAATTACCTGTCCTTTTTATGTTACTTATTTCTATTACATCCATATCCTTGCTTATGAAGCAAGAGAACGAAGGCTCCACTAGAAGACATGGTAATTTGTCTCGGAATTTTTATGGACTTGCATACTTTTAATAGACGGATAACACGTTATAAGAAGAGCTTCTTCTGGAAGGTGATGACTACCAAATGAACATTGGAGCATGTGATATGAGGGTTCTCGCTTTCTGGGCGAAACCATGTGCTTCAGAGAAGTGAAATATAACTCAAATAACAAATTCTCCTCCTAGTAGGTTCTCTTTTCTCTTTTTTTTTCCTTGAAGTTTTTAATTCTCAAAGGATGAAAGACCATTAAATGCCGATAAGAGGGTATCACTGGAAGAAGAACTGAAGCAAGGTCCAGTAAGGTCTTGAATAAATAATAAACTCAGAAGCTGCAGTAATTTGGTTGCCTTGTACCTGCAATACACAGTCTCTTTTCCCTGTCAGAGAGCATTAGTTGGGCAAGTAGCTTATATTCATGTTTGTTAAGGAAAGTTTTCATCTTTTTTCTTTTCTATGGCTGTTGCATGTGGGAGTGCAGAAGAAATAGGTATAGTCGAGTATTTGAAACAACTTACCCAGGAAAGCGTTTTAACGGAAGCCAAAGAAAGAGTGTTATCCAGATGTTTGAGACCTTAAAAGCATCCCTTACTTTTACTAAAATAAGAACCTCTTACCCAAAAGAAAAAGGAACCTCTTCTTACAAAGGAAAATTAGAAAGCTAGGGAGTGTCGACTGTGAAGGGATGCGAGTGGTTTCATTATTGCCAAAATTGGCTCTAGTACTCTCTAACATTGATGATCAACTCCTTGATTCAATTGTTTGACTTCTAAAGACAAACATAATGGTCTGAATGCAGGTAAAGCATTCAAAAGCCGAATACATCAGAAAGGTAGCACTCCCTCCATCCAAGTTTGATATCCTACTTTCACTTGTCTGGTTAACAAGAAAGACTTGAAACTTTCATGTTAACTGCGAGAACTTTAGGATCATAGCTTACCTTGTAAATTTGTAGGAATACAACAACAAACACAGCGTAATCCCACAAGTGGAGTCTGGGGAGGACAGTGGGTACGCAACCTTACCCCTACCTTGTGAAGGACCTTCTAAATTTGTAGGAATAAGAATAGATAAATTAGAATTGAGAAGAGCAGATGCTTGCCCCATTCATTTATTTTTGGAGTTGTATGAATAAATTGGTCCAAGCACAGATGTCCTCCCTGTTCTTGTCATTCATTACAGAAGAACAGTAATGTGACATACACTCTTACCGGAAACCATACTGGTGTTGTTTGGAATAATCAATTTCAGCAATCTGTTAAAGATTGGAAATGGAAAAGGTGATTTGTTCAGACAATTATTACAATGTTGATGTTCAGTAAGGCGATGACAGGATCTTCTGGCTTAAAGATAAAGGTAGTGATTCTTCTGTGAAGTATTATAACAACTGTATCAACTACAGCGCTAAGGTTTACTGCCTAAGATTTCGAAAAATTGGCATTTTCTTCTCTCGCTCTCTCTCGGCATGGTGTGCAGCTTATAGTGCAGTTTATATGATAGATAAGTTGCGAAACAGAAGGCAACTACAATTTTCATCTTTTTTCGTGGTCTAATGGGTTATGCCAGCTGATATTAGATCTCATCTAGCACGGCATGTTAGAAAGACCAGAGGCTGGAAAATGGGACTTCTGAGTATTCTGGGTAGTTAAACGGAAAAGAATTGAAACTCATCTTCATAAGATAAATAGTTCCTTTTTTCCTATTTTCTTTTGATCCATTTTTGGGCCAACAAGAGTATTCCCCAGAGTGTATTGATTCATGGCGGTAGTATGCAATCAAAATTTATTAAAATAAGGAATATGCCAGAAGATCTAGAACCCGTCATGGTTAAACTTGGATTTATCTATTATTATTTTCGCATAAAATGTGCGTTATTCGTGTCTAGAACCCATTGATGCAATGGAGATTTCCTAATTGCAAGGTCACTTGCCCTGCCTATGGCGTATGCATGCAGAATGACCTAAAATTTTTCAAGAGTAAAGTTTCTTTTCTTAGATTTTTAGAATGGGACTGAATAATTGCAAGATGCTAGGTAGTTAGACTCGTACGCCGTTCTCCGAAACTAATGAGTTTGAAAGAACTCGCGTGTACAATGTGTGTGATAGTGTTCGACCAAGATTCGATAGAGAAATGATGACAGTGTAAAGAAAGTGATAACAAGTGAAGCATTTGTAACATAGACAAGCATGTGAAGTGTAATAAACAAACATCCCTCAAAATATCAATTTGAAAACCTACAATTAGGTGAAATATATTTAGTAAAACTTAAGTCTAAAAACTGCTTTTAACTTTGAGTTCAGATGCAAAAAAACATTTGAGGTGGCTTATTTAGCACTCACGTGACAATATGGAAAGAAACAAAAGAGCATTTGAAGGAATGAAAAACTTGTATACATGTACTAGTGAGAGATTTTTATTCTTTTGCACATCTTTGGAATTGCGAATGATATTCCATTTAACTTTGGTAACATCTTGGTTTTTATAGAAATTCATGCTTACGTAGGATTCTTTATTTTTTGTATAAATCTTGTCGGCGGGTCTTTTCTTCACCATATCAGTAAACAACTTTACTTTGTGAACAACTATAGATGCACTTCTAAGTTTTTACATCCAGTTAATGAACAATTTTCTTATACTAAATTTTTTAATTCCCTATTCCTGATTAGTAATAAAATTATTCGAACACTTTTTGACAATTAATTTGTCATGTTGGCAGCTATATATTTATTGTTTAGTGCAGCTCTATCTTGTAAAAAAAGATTTGTTTAGTGCCATTTTTTTCAAGCTAGAATAGGTGAAAATAGGAAAACTGGTGATTTACAATGTCGAGAGAGACTTCTTATATAGTAGTCTTAGGGTATGTACAACATGGTAAGCAACTATTTTCTATGTCTAACAAGGTAAGTAATTATTTTAAAATTACATATGGAATATTCTACGATATTTTATTGAACATTATAGATTATTGTCAAATAGTCTCATGCTCAGAGTCCATGAACCTAGACACTTTTCGAGCAAGACATATTCTAACATGTAACTGCTTTAATTTTCATGATCACAGCAGAATCCTTAGACGATTAGGCGCACGCCTTAGCACATTTGTGCCTGCATTGAATTGCTGCTTAAGTGAGAAGAAGCCCTCAATTTGCATTAGGGCTTAGCCGTACTTCAAACGGATCTTTAACAACACCTTTTTGGTTCTGTTCTCAAAGGTGAAAAGAACAGAAAAGCACTAAGATCTAGCGAGCTTTAAGCAAAGAATGCTATTAATGCGCGAATTTTACTGAGAAATGCACAAAGAAAATTTATATGTAATACAAGAAAAAATATTTATAAGCACAAATTGTAACTATCTGATAAAGGAATTGAATAGAATAACAATTAAGTAAAATATATGAAGTAAAAATCATGTCAATTAAGGGAAGTCGTTTAAAATTTCTGAATTAGATGCAAAAGATTTAGGGAGTAGTGACTAGTGTTTAATACGAAATATCTAATTTGCCTTATCCAAAAACGAACTATCTAATTTGCTATTCCTAATCATTAACATATTCATTCGTTGTGTAATCTTTTAACAATTAACATACAATTTGTCAACTATATTTATTGTTTAGTCCCACCTTTTCAAGATAGAGCGCAGGTCGCCCATTGCCTTGGTATCGGAGTTGTACCTAGCTTTAGGGCTTAAGGGCCTCAAGCAAGCCTTAAAATGACACCCTCTTTATTATGTTCTTATGGTTGATTCTACTTAAGACTTTTCTAGGTAGTTGTTTAGTCAGTTCACGGCAAAATTCTCCATTTATGATTAATTAAATGGGAGTTATGCTTTGAATTGCAATGCTTTCAGTAGCTATTTCTGCAACATCTTCTTCATTTTGTCATATTTTGCACTTTGGCATGTAAAATTATATACCCTCGAAGGAAAAGTAGAGGACCTAATAATTTTTTGGTTTGACATGCTAGCAAATGGAGAATGCTGATGATGATGGTGCCCCTAAGGATTCTCGGGAAAAATTGGAAAAAGATGCTTCTTCAGCTAAACAAGAAATAGAAGCGGCCGAGTCCCCTAAAAAGCAAGCGATAAAGAAAGATACCAAAGAGACAGCCCCTGAAGATGAAGCAGAAATGGATGACTCTCCAATAATGGGCGTTATGAGCTCCAAATCAGAATCAGTGGATGCTCAAGGTGTAAAGCCAAGTGAGAGCACAATAAAGAAGGCCATCTGGGAGAGAGCTGCTCACTTCAGAGCTAATTCTGAGTACGTTATCTTTAGTTGCTATCTAGGTCACTCATTCTATCTTTTACAGCTATGACTCCTTACTTGCCGGTTCTGCCAACAACCCTTGGGGCCTTAAGAACCTAAGAATGACAGCAAAAGAGGATTTCTGTTGCCACTACAGTTGCTTGAAAGTGGCTTTGATTGTTTGCCCTTCCCTCTTTATTTTTATTTCTCTCAAGAGTAAAACATTTTGTCGGAGAATTATTTGTGCACCCCTTAGTCTCATATATATCCGATGTCGCTTTGCTTCCAACGTCAAACAATACCCCGTGTGAATCACTGTCATATTGCTTTGCAATTGCTTTAATCATACTTGTGCACAGCTTTAGCTCCTCCTTTTTCAATTCTAAGCTATTTACATCTGTTCCATGCAATGACTTGCCATGACTTTGTCCTTGGCCATCGCAGATTTTTATTGCTTTAATCAGCAAGCAGAGTTGCTTGAAATCCGTATGAGGCAGCTAAGCAGGGCATAACCCCTGAAGTTGCTGGGAGAAAGAAAAGGGATAAAAATATTAGTGAAATTTTGTCTACTGTTACCTTTCATGATTTCATCCTCTGGCTCCACCCGTCCCCTTGAGCCATTTCTTTCTTGAATGACCAAGAACGCTAGAGCACTACTTCTCTTTCCATTTTTATCTTTCCTGTATATCCTAGACAAGGACCGTTCACAATAGCTCCTTTTTCACACGCTAATGAAAATGGAAATATTATTCTGAAGCTCAATCCTGAATCTCTTATAAAAAGACTGAATATTTAAATATAGAGTAGTTTTATTTCATGTACTTCCATTATGTTTCTCTAGCTTAGTCAAGTTCAGTCTTGTAACTTTGGTTTATTTATTTTTTTAGCACTATTAGGCGGATCAAGCAATCAAACTTTCTAGCAAGCAAACAATACTCTGTACTGGTGTCTCTCCCCCTCGACACCGTGTTGCTTTTCTGTAATAGCTTTCATTAATGCAATCAAGCTTTTTTTCACTCTCAATTCTCATTTCTGTTCTCTCAATTGCTCTTGACATTGGTTTTCCCGTACGGCACTGACAATCTCGTCTAGCGTACGGAGGGGACCTCAATTGACGGACAGTAACTGCACTGACATCAGTTGCTTAGCCTTACGTCGCCCTTCCAAAGAATCTCAGGAAGGCGCCGCGTAACAGTAATTGTGTTGTTATATACTTGACAATGTGGCAAAATGAGTTAATCACCGGTGAAATTTGTGCATTCAACCTAATGGGTTATAAATGGGATGGCAGTAAATGGGTAATAATAGTTTTGGGACATTAAGTGTATTCACTAGTTATACACCTGAAGTGAACACTTGTTTAGTAGTTTGATCAATTTCAACATTACCTCTTCTCTCAAAGGTTTTATTTATGTATTTATCTTTCACATCAAAGGTTTTATTTATTTATTTATTTATGTAAATATTCCTTCATTTTCCTCTTGTTCTTTTCTATGTGCTTTAACAGTTTCAAGTGAATGTTCTATCTCAGGTCAATAACTCTTGCTGGTGTTCGTCGCCTTCTGGAAGAAGATCTTGGTCTTGAGAAAAATACTCTTGATGCCTTTAAGAAGTTTATTCAGAACCAAGTAGATGAGGTGGGATTTTGTTTCGAAAAGTTCTTTACTTCGAAGGGGGAGTATGTTTATTAATCTATTTTCAAAAAAAAAATGTTAACAGGTGTTAACATCTTCTGAAGCTCCTAAATCCACCAATAGTGGTAAGAAAAGCCCTGAAAAAAGAAGTAAAGCAGCAAAAAAGAGTGGTGAAAACTCTAATTCATTTAGCAGCCGAAGTAAAAATGTAGCAGAGAAAGTAAAATCAGGTAAGAAATCTGCCGCAAAAGAGACGGCTGAGAAATCTGAAGGACTGAAGAAACGAAAAAGTCCTAATTCAGAGGATAACGTCCCTGCCAAAAAGCAGAAAGAAGTTTCTAAGAAGCTATCTGATGAAAGTAGTGATGGAGACACCAGTAACAGTAAGAGTGATTCTGAAGATGGTCAATCTGGATCATCTGCTGAAATTCCTGCCAAGGTGAGGTTATTATGATAATGTCCGTATAATTATGCTTATTTGTAAAAAAAAAAAAAAAAGAAAAAAAGCCTGCCTGTGCCACATATTTGGTTATTCATTAAACTTACCTAAATGCAGAAGAAAGTGGTAAAGGGAGCACCAGCTACTGCTGGATATGGAAAACGTGTGGAGCATCTGAAATCAATAATTAAAGCTTGTGGGATGAGGTTTGTCTTTTTTTATGATTTCAATTCTGTATGTATTAACTGATGCACGGACCCACATTCTAATTCAATCTTTCAACTGCCCCCGATCATCCTAAAAACCAGTGTTGCTCCTTCTATTTATAAGAGAGCCAAGCAGGTGTCTGACGACAAGCGTGAGGGTTTCCTGATAAAGGAGTTGGAAAAGATACTTTCTGGAGAAGGACTATCAACGAATCCCAGCGAGAAAGGTAAAATATTACCATATAAAAGTGTCTAATGGGAGCAGTAAGATTCCACTAGTGTGGTATCTAACAATTTCCAGCTGAAATGTAATATAGCTTCTTCACTTCTGTTTCAAATTCTTGCTGCTATCATTCTCTCTCTGCTACTTAAGTTGCTTGCTTCTTTTATCCGCTCCTTTTTGGTCGAACAAATTCCCATATCTAGTTGGAAAGTGTCAAATAGCTTTATAGGTGCATGTATGGGGAAGTTTTATTATGTAACTTTTATGCTGATGCCACTTCTGATTGGCCCAGAAATCAAAGAAGTCAAAAAGAGAAAGGAAACAGCAAAGGAATTGGAAGGCATTGACCTAAGCAACATTGTTTCAAATACACGACGGAGATCAACGACCAGCTTTGTTCCTCCTCCAAGACCCAAGTTACCTCCTAAAGAGGATAAGAATGACGACAAAAAGGATGATAGCAGCAATGATGATGCAAGTGACAGTGACAAAGACGATGATGACGATGAAGATGATGATAGCAGTCAGAGTGAGGAGTTCAATGAAGGTATATTTGCTAGCATGTATATTCTACAGTGGTGGTTTGCTGATTTGAGATGCTTTTACCTTCTAGGCATTAGCTTTCTTGTTCAGTTGAGTTCCCCTGTATTTTCACTGGCCTCTTAGATGCTCTACTAGTGGCATGTTTTTGTGCTGCAATAACATCGATTTTTCTTTCTTTCGTTGAAGTTCCATAACGGCAATATTCCTCTTTTGTTGAAATTCCATAATTTCGTTTGCACTGGCCATGTGCATAGACTCTCCCAATTAGCATATGTTGACAATTTTAGATTAGACAAAGCATTGTTTCTTTTTTCTCCCTATTAAGTAGAGTACTAGTTTTGTTTGCTCTTTGGCCTAAAACTAAATCACTTCAACTCTGGGTGTAACTAGAACAAGATTAAGTGTAATCTTGGGGAACACAAGCATTTTGGTGTACGTAATTTGCAACAGTACTCCATCTGAAATTGTTGATCATTTGCATAAATTTATCACATTATTGTTTCTCGTTTCTAAAACTCCCTTTTCCATGGCAGATGATAACGAGGACAGTGAATGAAGCTTTCAGGGATGAAGATTATAAGTTACAGACCAGTCAATCATCTTTAGAATGTATCAATAGCTTCGGTTTTCTCATCTTAGATTTGGGAGCTGAGATTTAGTGTATTTTAGAAGTATATTTATATGAGATGTGATATTTAGTTGGTTCTGAAATGTTAAATTAGTGGTCATGGATATTAGAAGCCTTAGTTGTTAGTTATCGTGCGATTTTGTAAATGGAGCATCTTTGCTTGTGCATTGTGGGAGGTTTAATCTTCGTGTTTGTGCTGTTAGCAGTGCGTTAAAAGGCTTTTTCGGCGCAAGGCAGAGTTCCGGTAGTAACAGTTTTAAAAAACTTTCTCGGCGTGCCCCTTAGAAAATGCCCCTGAGGTAGAATGTGGGAGACACTTCTCTCCCGAGGCCTACACCCTAGTGTTCGACTGTGCGCCCCAAAGCACATTCAATGCCTAGCTCTCGATGTTCTCATCAGCTTCCATGGAAATCATGTGCACAATTTCCGAATCTTATTGACCCTCAGAATTCTTTTACTAACCTTGACTTTTCAAACTCTTCATCAATTTCAATTATGAAGTTTGAGAATATTTCAACCCTAAACCACATATTCTATTGTTGCGAAGTAAGAAACCTGGCTTTGGAAATTGCCGAATTTCATGTTTTCATTTGCTAATGGCTTTTAAGTCTTAGTGTATATTTTCAGAAATTATTATTATTGTTTTTTTATTGTTTCCCGTTCGAAACAATATTGCTCTATTTGTGTTCATTGAAGGAACCTAATTATTTAGCTTGTAAGTCTTAATAAGTGACGACTTTTAAACAATTTTTCACATGATACTCATTTTAGTGAGTAGTTATCCTAACAAGAATTATTTCTTGATTTAATGACTTGTCGTGAGATGCATAACGATGCTCTCCTGTATGTAGAAAATGCTTTTTTAAGATAAAAGTTATCTTTTTAATTTTTATGTCTTTATTTGTGCCAAAACTAGATATACAATATTGAAAGGAGTAGTTTTTGAAGTCTGTAACTACAAAGCTTCCTTCTTTATTTGCTGTTAGGAGGTACAAGATATAGTCTGACATCCTTTTGTATCTTTAAGATGCTTGTAGTTGATTTATGTCTCACAATATTATTTTAGTGTTCACTGTTGGTAGTAGGTTTTTGTTTTTATGACTAACCGTTGTTTTCTTTCGTTGTTGATCACCTTACTATCTTGTTTTTATTCTACTTTTATATGGCTTTTTGGTGCTGTCCCTTGTCTATATTTTCATTAATGTGGTGCTTATACTTTCTTGAGCCAAGGATGTATTGGAAACAACCTCTCTATCCTCACAAGGTAGGGGTAAGGTCTGCGTACACACTACCCTCCCCAGACCCCATGGTGTGGGATAATACTGAGTATGTTGTTGTAATAATTTTTTAGTGTTCTATCTTTTTATATCCCATAATAACTCTCATAATGCTGTATTTTATTTACTTCGTATGCAGATCTGTTTGGCTCAAAAGTTAACAATATACTTGGTAAGCTAGAAAACAATCAAAAGTAAGAAAAGGGTAAATCGTAATCAAATATAATAAACCTAGAGATGTAAAGATGATGTTATTGTTGTAGATCTAGTATTGCAAAGCGATAATATGAACTCAGTAGAATATGTTCGTTTGAGGTAGAGATAGAGAGAGAAAGCCAGAAAATAAGAGAGTTGTATTATTCCAAAATCCTCCTCTTTACAATGTGAAGGTCTCCTTTATATAATAAGAGACCTTCCTCGAAATAATCAAAAAGTTACAAAGATAGGTAACGTCTCCCTAGTGAAGACACCGAGTCCTAAACGACGTCGCTTTTGTCTCCACGTCCGAGTCGTACCCGCTACGTTAGTCGGCGTACACTCACTGGGCGTAGAGATGTTGACGGTCAAATTTTACCCTATACAAGATCCTTTCTTTTCCGTAATTTCAACAATTTTTTCTTTACTTTTTACTCTCTTTTTTTCGTAATGTATTTTTATTATTTGTATTATTATGCTTTATCAATTTATAAAATAATAAAAGTTAAAGATTCGTTCCCTAAGGTGGAAGGGAAGAGACTGGTACGTAATAATCAGGATGCTCCTAGGTGGAGTTTCATTCTATACTTGGCCATTCAAAGGAGATAATTAACTAAGGATAGACTAGCAAAGTGGGGGTTGCAACTGATCTGAGGTATCCTTTGTGTTCTTCTGGTTATGAGTCCACTAATCATTTGCCATTTAATTGTCCTATTTCTACTTATATTTGGACAAAGCTAGCGCCCTGGATGGGGTTTGGCAGGCAAGCAATTGAGCTTTAAGAACATCCTATGACATCAGACAAGTGCGCACACAAGCTATTAATTCGATCATCTCTCGATCTTATGAACAAGTCTGACACTTCAAGTATGTTACTGAAGGTTGTCAAAGCCAATACTACATTATTTTTCCAGAATGCACGAAATCTGAAGGAACTTAGACATAGAAAATCAATTATTTTCCCTCCCAGTTGCGAAGAATAATAATGTGTCTGTCATATGTCTAGATATAGTAATATAGATTTCTCAACATCTTGGAGAACTAAATTAAGGCATTTGTTTCAGACAATGCTCAAGGTATCTGCAAGATCATGAGATGGTTACTTCTTCTGAAAGAATGCGCCTGGCTTCCTTTGCAATGTCACTGACATGTTTATCTTCACATCCTGGTTCAAATGAAAATGACAATAGAGGAGGAGGAATGTAAGCGGGCGGAACAAAAAATAGGTATTATCAGATCTAAAGCTAGAAATGAAGTAGGAAAGACAGCTTGCAGGGGTTTAAGAAGTTACCTAAGAGGCTAAGGGCTTTTTCAAGTTGAAAGAGGTAATCTCTATTGGGTCCTGAGGGGCCTTTTGCACGAACGATTTGACTGCACGATTCAAGTAGACATTAAGAAGATGCCAAATGATAATACCTATTCCAAAATCCAAACTCTTTAGCTGCTTTTAGATGACATTAAAATTACAAAGCATAAAACAGGTTTAATTTTTGTATCAAATACATTAGCAACTTTACACTATCATTGTATTTGACTCGTTATAGCAAGTTCATCACTTAATAAATGAAAGATTTGAGTTTCCTTTCACAACCTGGAATAACCAAATACTAACTCCTTCCCCAAGCCATGACTAAGATGCAGTTTGAAGAGGGACATTGATGGAGGAAAGTTCCTTCTCCAGGATTCCATGGCTTCCAAGACCCTCTGTGCTACAGGCTTGAGTTGCCCTGGAGAAGACGTTCATGTACAGAGAGGTGCTTTCCCCGGCTGAATGATACTATGAAGAGCTAAATTTGGGTACTTATCCTTTTCACGATGTTGTACTGGGAATGAATCGACAAGAACTTTACTCTAGGTTATGTATAGCCATAAGAAGACTACAGCCCATATACTTAACCTATGTGCGATTAACACCTCCTGCACGTCCATGGCTGGACATTTGGAGCCGGGGGGGGGGGGGGGGCTATAACATGGGTGCAACATTGGGTAGCCCAACATCAAGGATGAGCCTGACTCTGATATCATATTATAAATTTGTAATATTGTTCGCTTTGAACCTAGACTTGCACAGTTTTAAGACGTGTCAGGTCCTAAGGCTACTTCCTTATGTACCTAACAATTCTCTTGTGTTTTGCAGATGTGGGATTTACTTAGCATATTACACACATCCCATTGTACAAACTCAACGTCCTCGCTAAGGCTGTCCAAGCAATAAGCTAGTTCATGCAATGATAATTTTCCGAAACCATATAAGAAGACTACAACACATACACTTAGCCGATATGGACTCTTAACAATATAAATGAATCTCACTTTTGTTCACATAGGATATCAATGTCAAGATTTTTTTCTCCGGACAATATCAAGATCACTGCTCATAATAATGTATTTCTTTTTTCTAACAGAAATTCTGACATGTGATTGCCTATGTCAAATTTGGTGCCAAATAACAAAAAAATAATACTCCATCCGTCCCGATTATGTGACGGTGTCTGACTGGGACGGAGCTTAAGAAAAAAGAAAGACTTTTAAAATTAAATTGTTCAATATAGAAAGGTGTCATTCTTTTTAGGACAGACTAAAGGGAAAGTGTGTCCACATAAAATGGGATAGAGGGAGTAATAAAAAGCATTGAAATATGATACACACCTAGCTATTTCTTCAACTGATGCAGGTCCCAGGTAGTTCTCGTTAACCTTCTTGTCTGGAGACCCTATGTATCTGAATAGTCAAAACAGTCAAGTTATGCATATGAACCTTCAAACCGAAGTGGGCAGACATCATGTTGCCTGTCAGTTTTGTAACTTACACTAATACACCAGAAACAGCTGGTTCTGATGCTGCAGGCTCCTGGAGTATAAGTTGATATGCTATTGAATCAATAATCACAGAGCAAAGAATTATAAATAAACCAAGCACTTTATTTGGTTAAATATTACTTCAGTATGACTTACAGTGAAAAGATCTACATAAGCCTTCTTGTCATATTGCTTTTCCCTGACTTCAAGGTACTAGATGGAAAAGAGATGAAAAGAATATTCAGTAACAAAAATAGAGTCATTCAATGTTGTGATTTAGGCCACATGAATACCAATATAATAGAAGTGTAAGCAGACAAACAAGAAACTCTCATCATACAAGTGAAAGTTTGATGCTTAAGTAAAATTTGGAAGACCGGAACCACTAACTTGTCAAACTCTTAAAGAATATCATAATAAGGGAGCTAAATATTTTGGATTCAAATTGGGCATGCAGTTTTCCAGTTAATCTTAGTGAACATGAGCATTTAGTTGATGACAATTTGTGCATTTTACAACAACAATAACAACATACCCAGTGTAATCCCACAAGTGGAGTCTGGGGAGGGTACGTAGACCTTATCCCCTACCTCGTGAAAGTAGAATTTGTGCATTTTGTACAACAAAATTGTAGAATTACCTAAATTTGAATCTTAAACGTCCTATTCAGAAATTCAACTACCCAGATAACGAATTCCAGAAGTTCTACATTCCGTTTTAGGAATTCTCTCAAGAATATATTATCTGTAAGAGCCACTGGTAAGTCAAATCAAGTCTAGCTCAACTTCTCTTTCATGGTATAAGGGGTGATAAATTACAACCAACTACTTTAATATGATTTTCTAAGGGAACATAAGAGATTCTGTTTCCTGGCATTTAGTGAAAAAGAACCAGGGATTATGCCTTTTACAGATTATGCATGCCCCACTGCCTGGCAACCGAACACCCTCCTTGTTCAAGTTAGAAATACATGCATAGTAAGACAACTTCGAGGATCGAGCTTAATGATTTATTTCCAGCTTTGGAGTATATTAGCACTTTTTTAATGGATACAGCATTTTGGACCTCGTGTGAGACTCCAATGAGCATAGATGATTAATTGCCCCTTGCAGAAAAACATGTAACTGTCTATAATTCACTTAATGTATACAACTTGTGTACAGGGGGTTTCCTCTTTTTGATGCTGTAAGTAATAACATTACTCAATTTAATGAAAATCAGAAACTTTGTGTGCATATAATAGCTCGAAAATTTATATGTTTTAACTGAATGTACTGTTTCTTTTAGATCAGACTGATCCCAAAATATTTTGAAGTTAGACCACATTTCACCTCCTTAAATCCAGAACTTCCTCTATCAAGTGCACTGCTGTCAAAAGCGAAATGCTCCAAAAAGCGCTCCAGGTTGATTGGGGCTTTAAGCGCAACTAAAGTGCGAGCTTTAGTTAAAAAAGGCACAATTAAGGAAAAATATAAAAATACATATGTAATTCAAGAAAAAAGAAACAGACCCATTCCTAATGTCTTCATTAACAACTAATACACTTATTTGCCGATAATATTTGTCGTTTAGTACTGCTCGATTTAAGATAGAACTCATGGGTAATGAGGCGCACACCTTAGTGCCTTGCCTACACTGAAGCTCAGCTTAAGCGAGGCGAAGCGCCCTCCCTGAGCTTTTTTGAGCTTCAGGGCTTAAGCGCGCCTTAAATGAGCCTTTGACAACACTGAATTCAAGTGTAACAAACAACTCAGATGTCTCCTCGGCTCTTCAATGCATAAAGTCAATAGGTTTTAAGACAGCAAGATAACACTTCATTATATTCAAATAGTAAAAACTGAATGTGATTCAAATGCATATCTGACAAAAGCATGAATTTTTGAATCTCACATTCATGTAAACACAAATTTCGGAGTTCAGAGTCTCATATTCACTTAGAAAGCTGAAACGACATATACTTTATAATCTTTCACTTGGAGAAAGGATAAAATAAAAGAACATTTTGCATAAAAAAGAGAAATACCGTCAGTGCAACTTCTTGATCTTCCTTCTTCATTATCTTATAGGCAATACCCCACTGATCAGAAGCATAGAGAGTCATCAGTTTCAACTATTTGGAATAAGTCACACGTAAGCAGAAAAATTTCATAACATAAAACAGCACACAAGCTCTTTGAGTGTATGTTGTTGCTGGAAACAATATGCTGAAGATTTTGCATTGGTCTGATTAAGAATAGACTTCACTACTAAGTTGATCAGTTTCGTATCTATAAGAAAGAAAGGACAAACGTATACACACTGTTGCGACTGAATACACAAGAGGAAAGGCAAGGGAAAAGAGCCACCAAGAGGGATAGCTTTATTAGACTCTACTTTTTTTCCTTTGCATCAATCAGACATTTGAGGAACAAGAACAAAAAATTACAGGACAGACAGTCATCGCATCAGACATTTTTTCCCTTTGCATCAATCAGGCATTGTTTTGACTAATAATGTTGATTTAAAATGAAGACATCAGCTGTAGAATCAACTTTTGCATTTGGACTAACTGTAACAAAAGAATGTATGGACTCAGAAGAAGTGAATATAGAAGGAACCAATGTTACACATCATCAACTCAGAATCCAAACATAACAACCTATAAAACTGAAAGTGTTTTTCATTTTTCAGGACACAAACATCAAATGGCTTAATGTAGAAAAGCACTTACACAAACTTCTCCTTCAGCAGGCTCCAGTGTCGCTGTTCTACCTGGAAATTCTGGTGTCCCTCTGTGATCAGTGCTGCCTACATTACATAACATGTATTCATAAAAACTGTTTCTTTACCAGCGTCAGCTTGACCAACTGTCATAGTTAAATCTAGAATAAATTAATACTTCGTCCGTCTCAATTGATCTGATACTATTTGACTGGACATGTAGTTTAACAAAGAATTTTTTTTTTTTGAAATGTGCGTCTAAAATAAGTCATACACATTTATGTCTACAAATAATAAAAGGGAAAATTTCACATAAGAACAACTGGGCTCCCTACTTTTCAATTTTATAGCCCATATTTCAATTTACAACCAACTAGCCCAAAAATAATAGGCTAAGATTCAACATCCAACTCCAATAGGTTCTCAAAATTACTATTCAATTTTTAAAAAAGATTGCTCAAGCTTTGAAGTTAATTTTTGAATTAGTAACTGTGACTCAAATATTAGTTGAACAAACCAAATCCATTTGGGTGGTGAAAATTAGATTTTTAACCAACTTAAATATGTGGTTTAAATTCCGAATTTGATTTTGTGAGAAATTTGGAGTGCGTGTTATTTAGACTTGTTAGAAATAGTATAAGGAGGTTGTATATAAAATTTGAAGTCATTTAATGGAGATTTGGACTGGTTTTGAACAAGAATTGCAACTGAAAATCGTGGAATAAGTTCGTCTACAGTCGCTTGTACAAAGGTGTATAAAAGTGTATAAGATGTGTTTATACACTCATATACTCTATTGTACAAGATTATACAAAAAACTGACTTCGTCTTCTTCCTTGCGTCTTTTCTGAAATTTAACTCAAATCTTTCTCAAATCTACTCCAAATCACTTCAATTTAAATTTTGAAATCCTTTTGACATTTTCAATCAATTGGAACAACACCCAATCCAAACAACTAACAAACTCAAAAAATTCTATTTTCAAAAGCAAAGCTTTGAATGGCCTTCAATGGTGGACTTGTACTCTTTAATTTTTTTACATCGCAACCAGGTGACATAGGGGAGAAGTAGTAATGGCGAACGGGCCCTAGCATATGTAGAAGATGTGAGAAGAAGAGAGAGTCAAAGCAATAGTTGTGAGAACACAAATTTAACTCCATAGCTTTTAGAAGCAATGGTTGTAAGAGCACAGATTTTGAATTTGCAAGAGCTAGTGTTTTCAAAATATGTGCAATATGGGCTAGGTCGGGTAAAGCTTAAAAACATGAGCCATTTTTTGTTATGGTGTGAAGTCATGTGTATTTTCTTGTATCATAATAAAATCAGAAGTATAAAGTTAAATTATATCTGAATATACAAATGTGTCAGTCTTTTGAGATATACTAAAAGGGAAAGAGTGTCACATTAACACTCTATTTGGATCATTGTTCCCAGTCGTTTTATAATGTATTGTATTGTATCGTATCGTATCGTTTTATAAATACAATATTTGGATAGATTGTATCGTTTGTTATTGTTAAATAATATTTGCTGTTTGGTTTGACTGTATCGTACTGTACTGTAACTGATAAGATGACTAAAATACCCTCAATTGTTTAAATATTAAATTTATTAAAAAATTATGCATAAAAATAATTTAAAAAAATGAAACAAAAGAAGGCAAAACACCTTAAGAAAGCATAACAAAGGAGCGAGACAGAAGAAGGCAAAACAAAAGAGCACAACTAATTAGAATTGAGTTAAAAGAAAATTAGGAGAAAAAATAAAACAGAAGGCGGCAAAACACCTTTAACGTTGGTGGCAGAAGTTTTGGAAAAAAAGTAAGTTATAGGTTGGAGATTTGGAGTTAAAATAGAAAAAAAGGTAAAGGGTAAAATAGAATTGTGGAGTAATAAGTTAGGGCATAATTGAAAAGAAAAATAGGAAACAATCCCACCACACCAAATCTGTTGTTTCAAAAAAGGGTACTTTTCATTATTCCGGAACAATGTATTTAACAATACAATACAACCAATTTTAATGAAACAATAAAAAAATATTGTTATGGGATAACAATACAATAGGATACAACGGGGAACAACCATCCAAACAAGCTGAACAACCATCTGAAAAAGAAGCACGTGACAATTTCGAGGCGGAGCCACTATTTGAAACTTATGGGTTCGAATTCTAAATTAACAATCTATGTATAATTCAATAGATTTCTTGAGACAAAGTTACTGGGCCCGCAACTGCAAGGCTAGCTCCGCCCCTGCTTGACATAGTACCATTTTGCAAGGAGGGGAGTAGCATTCCAACCATCAAATGTACATATTAAAAGAAAATGAAAATAGAAACAGTTTAGGAAAAGGCAGAAGGTCCACCTTGATAAAAGACACGGCGATAGCCTTTGATGAAACCAACAAGGCGATCATCATAGTTAAAGCCAGGCTTCCAAATTAGAGATCCATATCCAAATACCCACATCACCATTTTCACTCTCTCTCAGACTCTCGTTGTATTTTGAGAGTGAGAGAGAGGAGATGAAAAGTGAACAGTAACGGTAGCAGAGCCAAGAATGTAGTGGTTGATGAATAACTTCAATAGCATCCAATGGCGATATGCCAAGACAGAATGGCGAGTTTTCTTTATTATTCGAGCGGTTTTCAGCCTTATTTGTTTCACTTAAATGGGGTATGATTTGTTTGTCCTTCTTTTATGGGATTTTTGCCCATATATATATATATATATATATATATATATATATATATATATATATATATATATATATATATATATAACTTATATACATGATTTAACTATATCAAAGAGAATGTTATCGATTAATACCTACCTTAAATATATTGTGATTAGCTAATAACTTGGGATTTCAGTTTAAAAAAGATTCTACAAATTAATCCACCGTTAAACATCTTGTGTTTCATGCCGAAATTGACATTAACATGTAGCTTCAAAATTTGACAAATTTACGACAACTTAGTAATTGGAAAGTAAATAGCATTTGAAAATAACATACACAATTAGCCAGCTACAAATGCCACATATTTATGATACAATTTTGAAAGGCAGTCGCAAAACAACACAGAATTAACTTTACTTTTTATCATCAATAGTGACAATGAAAATCATGCTTCATCTCCAAAACTTCAAACTTAAACGCCAAAATATTCAGAAACAACAATCAATTTGATGCGAGCATCAAAAAGAAAACTCGATATAGTCTCGAAAAATTCCAACACAAATAAATTCAAAAGCAACAAGCAAAATCGAGTCTTGCACGAAAAAACGAATTGATGAAATAATACACAACTTTTATATAATATTCATAAAATTTTATACATCGGCTCGTTTCTAGAAACAATTTGTATGCCTTCATACAACATCATATAATTTTTATATAATTTTGTACAACATCGTGCAATATTCATACAACTATCACAGCTTTCATACAGTTTGGTTACACTTCAAACGTGTAGTTAATTAGGTATGATTTGTCTGCCATGCTTCATACAACATCATAGATCATTTATATAATTTGCATACATCTTACATACAATTATGTAAGCTATATGTATTTTGTATGTCTGTGTACGGGTGAAATCGGGGGAAATGTCTATCCCGATTCCCGGATGGGAGAGCGGAGAGAGAGCACGGATCCGTGAGATAGTAATCGGGGTTAGAGACCCTTCGTACCGAGACCTAGGAAGAGTAAACGATATATCCGTCATCGGGTATGGTAAAGCGACGCGCCCCGGGCCAAGTATAAGTTCTAAGGCCTCGGGAGACACGGTGAACGATTGTGCATGACGGATAGAGGGTCGTGGTACTCGCCCTCAACCGGATATCACGGCGCGAATCTCGCTCGATGTCAGTTATGGATCAGTAGTTACCGGAAAAAGAATTTTTACCTTTTTCAGACTTTTACTAGGGCTGAAACACTCGTACTATATAAAGGGGAAGTTATTCTTTAACCTGACACATTTATAACACGCAATTCAAGGCAATAAAAGTTTATTTTTATTCTCTAAGCCACTGTTGGCAGTTTTACCCACTTGCTCTGTTCTTTATTCACGATTGGGCTTAAATCGAGGGCACAATCGAGGACGAGCTCGTTATTCAATCTAAGATCAGCCCTAATCTAAACATTACGATTGGTTTGATCGTTCATTTCATCTTTAATTCATTTATCTATTATTCTTGATTATTCATATTGAATTAAACTACATATCCTTTAAACCGTGTACAAAATCAATTTTTACCCAATTTTGGGGTAAATAGTTTGGCGCCCACCGCGTGGCTAAGGATAATAGTGGTGATTTGGTACGAATCTCCATAACACACGCTATTTTACACTTGTCCTTTAAAGCCTTAATTTCAGGTCAGCCTAAAAATGTCAAACTCTCAATCTGCTCACTTGAACGTTGACGTTGAGTCTGGCCATCATGGCGAAAATAATAGTTTGGTGCCCAACAACGATGTGCTTCCTACCGATCCAAACGATGTCCCAGCTGTCGACCCGGTCGATGCTAACTCGTAGGTGGCCATCAACATCAATTTGCCAACTGATACCGAAAGTAGTGTTTGCGGGGGACCCCGACCAATAGCTCGAGAAATACCCAAAGACGAAGCCGATAGGGTAAGCCTACGACTGATTTTCGAAATGTTGCAGGCTCAACAAGTGGCAATAGCATAGCTGTAGAATCAAAGCCACGCCCCCAACAAGGTCGAGCCCGAACAATCTCGGGAAAGCACCCGAAGAAACAAACAAATTACCGAGAGACCGGGTGAAGCCGAACCCGGGGTAACCCCCGAGGTAATGAAAATGCTCGAAGTATTAACAAAACGGGTGGAGTCAGGCGAGAAAAAGATTGAGGCTAATGAAAGAAGGTGGAAACATACAACTCCAAGGTCGATCAGATCCGGGGAGTACCCCCGATATTGAAGGGACCGACCTCCAAAAAATTTATCCATAAGCCCTTTCCTCCGAGCGCGGCACCAAAGTCAATCCCAAAGATGTTTTGTATGTCCGACATCCCCAGATATAATGGGACCACGGATCTAAATAAGCATGGGACCTCCTATACATGCACAATCAAGAAGAACGTTTTGGAAGATGATGAGATCGAGTCGGTGTTACTGAAGAAGTTTGGGGAGACTTTGTCCAAGGGGGTGTTGATATGGTATCACAACTTGCCCCCAAATTTCTTTGACTCGTTTGCTATGCTTGCAGATGCTTTCATAAAGGCCCATGCCGGGGCCATCAAGGTCGAGTCCAGAAAGTCATATCTTTTCAAGGTCATACAAAGGGATAACGAGATGCTCAGGGAGTTCGTGTCAAGATTCCAGATGGAACGGATGGACCTACCATCGGTTGTAGATGATTGGGCCGTTCAGGCATTCACTCAAGGACTCAACCCCCGAAGTTCCCTTGCCTCTCAACAGCTAAAGCAAAATTTAGTGGAGCACTCGATGGTAACCTGTCCCAACGTCCACAACAGGTACCAGCCAAAGATCAGGGTCAAGGATGACCAACTCGGGGTCCATTCTGGATATATTTATCCCATCATGGCCGATGATAGATTTAAGAGAGCCATTGCTCAAGAGCCAAGACCTTTCCGAGATCGGTATCAACCATACAGCGCGGACCGAAGGGGAAATGGATCCGGGCGTCATTCGGTAAGGAACAAAAAGAGAAGCAATCAGGGGCCTAGGGGTCGAGGTCTGATGAGAAAGAATGGGTTCGACTGGCCGCTCGGGAGTAGGGAAACACCGAGATTATCGGAGTACAACTTTAATGTGGACGCTGCCACCATCGTGTCAGCCATAGGGCGTATCAAAGAGACCAATTGACCCTGACGATTGTAGTACGACCCTACCTAGAGAGATCCTAATTTGATGTGTAAGTATCACGGCACCCAAAGTCACAGGACCGAAGATTCCCGACAGTTAAGAGAAGAAGTTTCTCGGTTATTCAACAACGGGCACCTCCAAGAATTCCTGAGTGAGCGAGCCAAAAAACACTTCAGTAATAGGGACGCCAAGAAACATGTCGAACAAGAGGAGCCTCAGCACGTGATCAACATGATCATCGGAGGAGTCGATGTTCCCCACGGACCAATGATAAATTGCACTAAAGTATTTTTCATAAGGGAAAAGCGCACCCGGAATTATGTTCCGGAAGGAGCCATTTTGTTCAGCGACGAAGATGCCGAGGGCATCGTATAGCCCCACAACGATGCACTAGTAATATTTTTACTTATTAATAAATCTTGAGTTAAACGTATTTGATCCAGTTATCTTGGAAAACATCATCAGTTCAAGGGTCGTAGAGCAATTGGGATTACAGGACCAAATTATACCAGCAGTCCGTGTACTGAACGGATTAAACATGGCATGTGATACCACAAAAGGAGAGATAACCTTGCCAGTAAACACTGCCGAGACAATCCAAGAAACTAAGTTCTACGTGATCGAAGGGGACATGAGGTACAATGCTCTATCGGGAAGGCCATGGGTCCACAACATGAGGGCGGTGTCGACGCCCCCTTTTTCTCGCGAAATCGGGTTTACGACATTCGGGAAGACAACTCTATTCCCGTTTGGGAATTGGGTTTTTGGATTTGGAGAGTCGCCACCTAATGATTGAGTGCATTAGGACACTAAGAAGGGTTTTTGAGTTGGAAAACCAGAGTTCGGGTAAGGGCTAGAAATTATCTCAAGGGGAAGGTGTTAGGACCCCTCAAGATCCACTAGTGTGGTTCCCGGCCTGCTACGTTGTGACTTTAATGCAACTAGATACACAAAGGATTTTACACATAAGGGCTGCAAATAAATACGTGACAAGTATGTGGGGATCAAGGTCTAGATGATCTAAAAGCAGAAAATTAATCAATATATTGAATAAACAAAGAAGAAAACTTGGAAGAAAAGGCATAATGCAGTAAAATTAAGGAGGGTTTTAAGTAGTGGAAAAGACAGGATTTTATTGATATTAAACAAAGTTGTATAAGAAAAGGGGTCCTAGGTTTATAAATCACATGGATCATCCACACAACACCGGTAGTCAATTGTACGCGTAGTGTTATCGTGTGATCATCATCTCCATGTCTACCCTTCCCACCCCGTTAAGGTATTAAGCGCGAAATAGTCTCGTTTACTTATTGCATGCTATTACCCGTCCCACCTATCAGTCCTGGAGGTTTTTAGGACTACTAATCCTAAAGGGAAGAAGCTTGGCTTTTCAGAGGTTTAAAAAGGTTAAAAATACTAAGGCGTCAAACAAAACACATGAAAGCAGTTATGGGAGCACAAAACACTTAAGGCTCAG